CTTAAAAAATCTAAATAAAAGAAAATAACTAAACCACAACAACAAGAAAGCCAAAGTTTTCCTCCAAAATCTCTAAAAAAAAAACGAAATAAAAAGAAAATAACTCTAAACCACAACAACAAGAAAGCCAAAGTTTTCTTCCAAAATCGCTTAAAAAATCGAAATAAAAAGAAAATAACTCTAAACCACAACAACAAGGAAAGCCAAAGTTTTCCTCCAAAATCTCCTAAAAAAAATCGAAATAAAAGAAAATAAACTCTAAACCACAACAACAAGAAGCCAAGTTTTCCTCCAAAATCGCTTAAAAAACGAATAAAAAGAAAATAACTCTAAACCACAACAACAAGAAAGCAAAGTTTTCCTCCAAAATCGCTTAAAACAAATAAAAAAGAAAATATTTCTAAACCACAACAACAAGAAAGCCAAAGTTTTCCTCCAAAATCGCTTAAAAAATCGAAATAAAAGAAAAATAACTTTAAACCACAACAACAAGAAAGCCAAAGTTTCTCCAAAATCGCTTAAAAACGAAAAAAAAAGAAAATAAACTTTAACCACAACAACAAGAAAGCCAAAGTTTCCTCCAAAATCGCTCTTGAAAAATCGAAATAAAAAGAAAAATACTCTAAACCACAACAACAAGAAAAGCCAAAGTTTTCCTCCAAAATCGCTTAAAAAATCGAAATAAAAAGAAAATAACTCTAAACCAACAACAACAAGAAAGCAAAGTTCCTCCCAAAATCGCTTAAAAAACGAAATAAAAAGAAAATAACTCTAAACCACAACAACAAGAAAGCCAAAAGTTTTCCTCCAAAATCGCTTAAAAATCGAAATAAAAGAAAATAACTCTAAACCACAACAACAAGAAAAGCCAAAGTTTTCCTCCCAAAATCGCTTAAAAAAACGAAATAAAAAGAAAATAATCTAAACCACAACAACAAGAAAGCCAAAGTTTTCCTCCAAAATCGCTTAAAAATCGAAATAAAAGAAAATTAACTCTAAACCACAACAACAAGAAAGCCAAAGTTTCCTCCAAAATCGCCTTAAAAAAAAAACGAAATAAAAAGAAAAAAACCTAAACCACAACAACAAGAAAGCCAAAGTTTTCCTCCAAAATCGCTTAAAAAAACGAAATAAAAAGAAAATAACTCAAAACCACAAACAACAAAAAGCCAAGTTTTCCTCCAAAATCGCTTAAAATCGAAATAAAAAAAAACTCTAAACCACAACAAACAAGAAAGCCAAAGTTTTCTCAAAAATCGCTTAAAAAATCGAAATAAAAGAAAATAACTCTAAACCACAACAACAAGAAAGCCAAAGTTTTTCTCCAAAATCGCTTAAAAAACGAAATAAAAAGAAAATAAACTCTAAACCACACAAACAAGAAGCCAAAGTTTTCCTCAAAATCGCTTAAAAAACGAATAAAAAGAAAATAACTCTAAACCACAACAACAAGAAAGCCAAAGTTTTTCTCCAAAATCCTTTAAAAACGAAATAAAAAGAAAAATAACTCTAAACCACAACAACAAGAAGCCAAAGTTTTCTCCAAAATCGCTTAAAAAACGAAATAAAAAGAAAATAACTCTAAACCACAAACAACAAGAAGCCAAATTTCCTCCAAAATCGCTTTAAAAAAGAAAATAAAAAGAAAATAACTTAAACCACAACAACAAGAAAGCCAAAGTTTTCCTCCAAAATCGCTTAAAAAACGAAATAAAAAGAAAATAACTCTAAACCACAAACAACAAGAAAGCCAAAGTTTTCCTCAAAATCGCTTAAAAAAAATCGAAATTAAAAAGAAAATAACTCTAAACCCACAACACAAGAAAGCCAAAGATTCCTCCAAAATCGCTTAAAAAAAATCGAAATAAAAAAGAAAATAACTCTAAACCACAACAACAAGAAGCCAAGTTTTCCTCCAAAATCGCTAAAAAACGAATAAAAGAAAAAATAACTCTAACCACAACAACAAGAAAGCCAAAGTTTCCTCCAAAATCGCTTAAAAACGAAACAAAAAGAAAATAACTCTAAACCACAACAACAAGAAAGCCAAGATTTCTCAAATCGCTTAAAAAAACGAAATAAAAAGAAAATAACTCTAAACCACAACAACAAGAAAGCCAAAGTTTTCCTCCCAAAATCGCTTAAAAAACGAAATAAAAAGAAAATAACTCGAAACCCACAACAACAAGAAAGCCAAGAT